AATCAAACCCCTCTCTGTGACCTGACCGAGAGACCTGACCTCCTGTCCGGACCGGCCTCGTAACATTTTTATTATTTTCCTAGGCCCCCTCCCTTCCTCCCCCTCCCCCCCCCCTCCCTCTCTCTCTCCCTCTCTCTCTCTCCCTCTCTCTCCCCGTCTCTTCCGCCTCGCCAGAAGGAACCTGCTACTGCCGTCTTCCCCCCCGTCCCTGTCGTCGTGCGACCGCAATCTCCCTTCTTCTTTTTGAAGATAAAATCCAATATGACGGAGCCACGGAGGGGAAAAGAAGAATGCAATGAAATTTGCGGGAGGAAAGGCAAGAGCAGGCTGATGATGCGCTCCCCCTCCCTGCCACCCCCAGTTCGCCCCAGTAGCACCTTCCACCCCACTGCCTGGAAGGCTCATTACCCCCAAATCATTCGCGCCCTCGATCCTCTGCGCGGCGGCCGAAGGGAGAGGGGGTGGGGGTGGGTCCCACGGTCCCACTAGTCCCCCTGCCCACCCCCGCCCCACCGCGGTGGCCTCTGTGGGCAGCACTACGGCTCTTTGGTGAATATCCGCCCCCACACGCCCCGCCCCCAACCACCACCCCGCCACCCCGCTCTCACACCCTCTCCCAACACCCATGAGACTCGCAGGGGATGGGAGTGGAAGGGGACTGAAACAATGTGACTCCCCGAACGAGCCGGGCCGCCAAGGGCCATATGGGGAGGCGCGGCGGCACGGGGGAGGAAGAGGGGCCGAGGGAGGATGGCGAGAAAAGGAGAGAGGAAGAGAGAGAGACACACAGAGGGGGAGAGAAGGAGAGAGGGAGGGAGGGAGAGAGAGAGAGAGAGAGAGAGAGAGAGAGAGAGAGAGAGAGAGAGAGAGAGAAGGGTGCACGGTGGGGGCGGGAGGTGCGAGTGACAGGGGTACAACTCGGGGGCGCCTCGGGGGGCGCGCTATCATCCCTCCATCACATATACGGGGTCGGAGAAATCAGGTTCCCCAGCTCCATCGTGCAAAGCGGTCCAGACGAGGAGAAATAAAAATGGACGCGAAAATATGTCGGTGCGAAGAGATTCCAGCGGCGCTGCGCTGCGAGGGGCCGGCCGGCTGGCGGTGACACCCTCGAATAGCTGCGCACGGCGGCCACTGGGGCGCTCTACCAGCTCTACCCGGGGCGCGCTCCTGCTGAGCGCCCCTAGGACCGATCATCTCGGGGCGTTGTCACGCTCAGCCTTCCCTTTGAGCTCTCTGACGGCTCGGCCAAGGCGCCGCACTTGTTTGCCTTGGCGGATGTTGGCGGGGTGTGCGCACACGACGACACGCAGTGTACACACACCGTGCGCCTCGCCTCCTCGCCCTCCGCCACAACACGTGTGTAATGCGTTTGTGGTTTTTGCCGGGTTTTCGTCGTCCCCTCGAAATCATTCAACCACGCATATGAGTTTTGACGAAATGCCTCCACTGACGACAACACACTAAATCGTTATGAACTTCTTTTTATATACAAATGTGAACAAAATCGTGGGCAAGTATGAACAGGTTTTTTCATATAAAATAAAAAATACGCAAGAGCAGGTGCAGAATTTTCTGTCAGCTGCGTATGAAAAAGTACATAACTATTTACTATGAAAAGTTTGGGAATCGTTCAAGTGATCCTTATGTCTGGTTTTGTACGAGAGAAGAGGGGGTGCAATTTTTTTTTATCTCAAATGTGTTCAGTCGGCTCTGTGCATACGACCTGTATCCGATCGCCAGGGCGCGAAGAATACGGTATCGACCTTTTCCCGCGGACTGGAGAGATGTTTATTTTTTCGCTTGACGGAATCAAATTTTAGCAGTCCCCAACCGACGGGCCGTAGCCCTATGGCCATGGCCATCAGAAGTTTCCAAAGCATGTGATAAGCCTGCCCGCCCACCATGCTCGTGCTAGAATCAGCTGTGCCAATAGATGAATGAAACTTTGTCGACAGCGAGACAAATCCTTCCAAATGAGCGGCTCTGGTGGGTTTTGGTTCTGCCCCCATGGCCCTCACCCCTGCTCCCGACCGTGGCGCTGGGGGCCGAGGCACTATCCCACTCCAATCAATTCCCCCGTATCTCGCAGGCATCACGCCCCGCCCCGCCTGCCCCCTGCCCCGCTGCGCTGTTTGCTGAGGTCACCTACTGGGAGGCCTTCACCACCGCATCACACCGCGCCACGGGGCCACGGCCACGGCCCTGCTGCGGCCTGTGGTGGGCATCCGTCCACCGCCTACGTGAGCGGAAGCAAATATAGGCTGTCGATCGCACACGGTCCCGCCGCCGTCCCCCAGGCCCCTCTCTGTGCACTCTGCCTCCGCCCCCCGAGCGCCTGCAGTGGGCGGGGTAGGCAACCCAGCGCGCTCCCACGTGCCGCGGCACAGCCGCTCTCGCTCCCCTCCTCGGCTCGGGAGGCAGCGACAGCGACGGGTGACAGAGGGAAATGATAAAACGACGTCATGTATTCATACAGCAACCTGATCCCGAGGCTGGCAGGCGAGCTCCCCTCAGGGGGGCAACAGGCGCGCAGCGCTGCTGCCTCTCAGTCGCTCTTAAGGGTGGAGCGAGGCCGAGCAGTCGCACCGAGATCTGCCACACGGTAGCCTCCCCGAGGCTGATAACGAAGTGTCTGCTGTGCTTGTGGGGCTCTCTAGAGTAGTCCAGGCTCTCTGCACCACTCGGGCGTCGAGGCAAAATCTGTTTGTGATTCAATGTTTACTCCGTTTTTCCCAAGCACATGGAGACAGTATTTTCTTAGATCCAAGGCTGGTAACAAAACCTAAAACGTATATAAAGACGTACAGGTCCGCTTAGGCCTGGGTTCCTGGAGCTCACGGCCCGACCAAACGCCGTCGGTCAAACAGGGTTGCCCCCTAAGTGAAAAGAGTAGTGCTGGCACCTCCGTTTGGCTGTGCGAAGGGCCTGCTTATTTTGTTATAAAACGTGTTTTGTTTTGTTATGACGACTTCAGAGTCGTGTTCTTTATGGTATGATGTGGTCGTGTAGAGTAGGAAGTATATAGGGCATGAGAAATTTATTAACGCCGACTCCATTGGAAAAAAGATGTATGTTTTTATTAACAAATAAGTCGAGTAAAAACAGGAAACACGATGGTAGACATTTACAGTAAGAAAAAAGATATCGGAGCAGTCAGACACCGACACGGAAAGGGTTGAGCCTCGAAACAAAGCCATCACACAACTACGTTTCAATCAAACTTATAAACAGCTAACATTAAGTAGCAGCAACATTTTCCCGACATCGTTTTTCGTATACAAGATACCAAAACGGAAGTACAAGAGCGCTAGCCTGCCAGCGCGCAGGAAATATGTAAAGTTATTTTAACGAAAAGGCTCATCCCACAGAAAAGCTTAAAAGGAGAGGGAGCGAGAAATAGGGAGAGGTCGGGCAACAATAATATTAAACTTCTTCTTTAGAAAAGTGAAACAGCTAACAAACACGATTAAACAACAGTACAAAAATTTCGACGACTGAGCAATAAATTTCCCTCTCCGGAATCCCCATCCTACCCACGTGCTTATATGGTGGTTGTTTCGAGATGCTGCTATCACAGTCGGAGGCCGTGCCGGCGGCGGGTTGAGTGCTCCACACCCAGAGCTGGGCGGTCCTGGCGTCCAGGGCGGTGCTTGGTCCTCGGCAAACGGTGGAACAACCTCGACCTGCTGGCGGAGAGCAAACCAGGGAGTCGTGTCAGCCAGGGGAGTATACGGGTCGCGCCGAAGGCACGCATGCGAAGAGTTTGTTCCTTGTACTCACATGTTCGTTTAGGTTCCAGGGCGTTCCCGTTGTGCAGACCATCCCTTAGACAGGAGTGGCGGAAAGGTGTCCAGGCCAGAGTCCAGAGCGGCGTCCAGACCCGCGGGTAGCCGCAGTCACAATATGTGGCCGTGAGACAAGCCTGGAGGAACAGAGCACACGGGTCAGCGGGTTGCAGGAGCGACGGCTCAGGGGTGGAAGGGGTCGCGGGGCAGGCCCATCGTATGAAAGGGTATAGGGCAAGGGACATTCTGAAAGCGCCAAAACCCCGTCAAAACTTACCTGCGCCACAATCAAGTCAAAATATTTATTAACTTGGAAGTGTTCTTTTCTTTAAACTTAACGGCTAATTTTACAAAACAAAACTGAACATTTTTAAGGGACATGGGGATCAGGGCATGTTCTCTTTCAAAATAAGAAAAAAAGACCAAAGAATAGCTACAAAAAAGTACAGCCCAATCATGAACTACTTTTCTATATAAATAACGACCTAAATAGTATTCTACTTGTTAAAACATTGGAGACACGTGCAACATTCCGCTATACCATAGCAAAGCAATTGTATCAAACTATAACCCATTCGATGAAAGGGGATTGAAGTGGATACCATGCAAATTCCACACACACTTCACGTTTATCATTTTTGAAATTTAATTATTTGTTGTAATCTTACAATTTATGCTTATGGCTCCTATTTGTGTTTATTTATTCAGCCCAAGTAATGACCGTATTGTTGTTTGGGTTAATGTAATTTGATTTTTTTGTGGCAGCGAAAGAGCAAAGAAGAATGAGTTTTAGCCTACCATCTAGTTTCCAGTGCAATACACATTATTTATGAGGTTTATTTGACACTAAAATGTCTACGAAGTATGAAGGATATATGATGCTAACTATAAATTCTATACACTAAAACTAGGAGAAATATAGAGAACGTCTCCTACTAAGCAAATGCTTTTAAGAGAACATTTACTCATGTTAGTTGCTTCAAAAACATTGATTTCACAAAGTGATATTTATAATTATAATTAACAGCGTACACTATTTTAGCAGTTTCACATATAGTTTAATGCAAAATTTAAGGCGGAATTTATAATTAGCATGTATGGACTGCACAAAACACCAATGAAACGGAAAGTAGAATTACCTTCACACAAATTCCAATCCGAAGTTTCCGATATTGCTGGAAATGTGTTAATTGTGGATATAAAATCAAACAGTTTTACCGTTCTATCATTCTTTATTAGATAGAATTTAAACAATATTCGTACATTTTTGACACAGCAATGTTTGTTTAATCCAGTGCTGAACACATTTAAATGTGGAGGTATGGAAACCTGCGAGTCATCACAATAGAAACAGGGGCCGACTACGTGGAGGAAAAAAATCTTGTGAATTTTTTGTTTTGCAAGATTAAGTTCTTTGTGCATCATCACAAATTAAACACTTTTTACACTTATTGATCCCGGCAGACATGTTGAAATGTTTATTTAATTGTTCAACACTGAATGTACTTTTAGAGTTTTACTTTTATTATACAGTTTTAAGACTTACGATATATCACCGTTTTAACAATGCATTTATAAGTAGGACAAGATAGGGTGTGTTTTTTCATTTTTATCATTTAGGGGTGTTTTTAAAACAGAAACAGGATATAAGTAACAAACTCTAGACGAAGTATTTTAAATTATTTAACCTTTTGTACAAGAGAATATATGCATATACAAGGAGCTGACATTAGCTCTAATTTAATCATACTTCCATTCCCATAATTACATTCAACAAAAATATCACTGAACTATATCATGAGGGATGACAAGACAGCTTGCAGTCAAAATATCTTGCAATTTACTGTACAGTTGAGCTAACTGAAGCCGACAGGAACACAAGGCTACATAAGTGCAAGCTGAATCAGTTCCGATAATATCAAATTTGACTTCATTTATCTAAGTCAAACTTCTTAGTATGACTGACTTAGTAGGGCAATGCATGCTGACGACGTAGTCATATGTGGAATGTGAACGGGCAATTATTTTGCTCTTGCTCTTGCTCTTAGCGTATAAAATGTGGAAGAACAAGCACACAGTGATAATTTTAACGCAGTTTTAAACTAAGCGCTCCAATAAATCAAGAGTGCGTATTGGTCCAGCACATTGTAGCTTTGCTTTCAAAAGTTCCCGAACTTGCAAGGCCGTAATTTAATTTTTAAATGTACTAAGACTGGATATGAGGGGTGTGACGGAATTCATTAACTCGTAACACATTTGTGACAGCCACTTGCCGGACGTGCCACGGGACACGTGCTACATTGTCCAATTGCGCCCATAACACAAGAAGATACAACCAACATAACAATCAAATATCCGCTAGCTCAAGTAACCATGACTAGCATATGACCTTATTAGCATTAAGATTATAGACACTCTCAACCATAAACTTTGAAATTGTCAATACGAAAATAGTCACAAACTTAAAAACGAATCAATTGGAAACAATGAAAAACAAAAGTGACAATTTTATACTCTTTCATATTTTTCTTAATTCCCCCTTAACTTTGTCTAATTTGAGAGAGTCCAAGAGTAGAGTCTCAGCATGGAATCGCATCAGCACATCACAGACAAACTCACTCACTACTTGGGCGGCCTGCTGTATGGTGTTGATCGGGGCGCGAAGCGCGTCACGGACCCAGCGGCCGCCTTGTACCCCTTCCAACGGTTAGTGGTATCTTCTGCGAGCAAAAGGAACAAAAACAAAACGACCAGTCCGGTACACCATACAGTAAGCGGACCTGTCTGCTGCATGCAACGACCCCACCTCGCCGGGGAGGGACTGAGGACTGTGAGGAAGGATGGAGGGCTGAAAGGGACATTCCTTGTTAGTGACCACCCTCCAAGCTCTCGAAAGGGCCGGCTCAGCAAAATAGACCCCAACAAAGCGAACAGAAAACAGAGTGAAAGAAGAAAAGGGGATCGCTGTTTCATCGTTACTGCCAGATACTGCCAGCCCAGCTTATCCCCTGACTGGAGATTTCACTTTTTACTTTTTTTATCGCGCCCATCAGAACGACATAGTTTTAATCTCATACAAGATTCCGATGAGGTGGCACGTCGGAGGATTTGTGCAGGGCCATTTCGATACTTGGGCAGCCCCTTGAGAACTTGGACGCATGGCCTCATCAATAGGGAAAGTGCCCTGCTGGTTCAGTTCCCATCGGAGAGAGGGAGGAGAAAGGGAGGAGAGAGGGAGAGGGAGGGAACGGGCCAGCGGAGATAGGACAGGTGTTGGACGGGGAACAGCAGAGTGCTCTCAGTTTCTTGGAGAAAACCTTGCCGAGTGACTAAGATTCCGTGACGCGAAAAAATGACACGAAAGCACATAAACCATAGCGTCTAAAGTAAAGAATGCCAAATCTACAGAAGCACAAACTAGGGACAATTCTTAGCGGCAGCTCCTTTTAGTTTTACTGGGCAACGTACACACAGCGCCATGATATCGCATTTCCGGAGCATTTTGACGGCAAAACAACTAGGCCAATTACGGAACAAGGAGAGATAATAAATAGTAGTTTCCGGCACAATATTGAGTGCAGGCAAGATCTGTCGCCAAGAAACGTGGAAAAGGGGGAAACGAGGAACTGGGCGTGTTTTACGGGAGAGAAATGGAGAGGAGCGAGAGAGATGCAAAATAAAATTATCAATAGAAAAAGGAGCGCAACTTACCTGTGAAACCTGCGCTGGCACTGTAGAAGTTGGCTGCATCGTCGTAGTCGTCGTAGCCGCCGTACCTGTCAGCAAGACACGCAGACCATAGGGTGTCACATTGAGCGTGGTGGAAGATGGTATCAAAGACAGGAAAACGATTCAAAACCGTTTTTCTGATTTACTGTTAATGCCGTGAAATTTATATGGTGTACAGAATGTACAGAATAAAGTTAGAACAGAAATGTGTTTTTGAATTAAGGAATTGCAATGTCGTGTGAGGATGAGCCACTCACCCAGCGCCGTCGTAGAAGCCGGCTGAAGGGTCGTCGTCGTAAGGTGAGCTGTAGGACTCCTCCATGGCCACGCGCGCGCGGTCCAGGATGCTCAGCACCTTGGTCTTGCCGGGCAGCGGCCGGGGCAGCAGCGCCTGCGGCGGGGGCGGCCGGAGGGGCGCGGGCTGCGGGGCCCGGGGGTGGGGCGGGGAGAGGAGGGCGCCGCCGCGGGACACGGCCCCGCCGCGCATCGGGGGCGGGGGGAACCGCGCCGGGGGCACGCCCCTCATCATGCCACCGCGGCCCCGGGGGCCCCCGCGGGCGCCAGGCCCCCCCCGCACGCCGTTACCCTCCGGCGAGTACATCTCCATCTCCCGGAACTGCTCCTGCGAACAAGCGGGGCGCGCCAGCGCCGGCCAACATCAGTCCTGCAAAAAGACCGGTGCTTCTTCTCTCTCTACGAGTGCCACACACACACACACACACACACACACACACATACACACACGGCCCCTGCGGTGTACCACACGTCGATAAATGGGGGAGCAAATGGAAAGCACTCCCCCGCCCCCAGCTGACCCTTTAAGTCCCGAGGCTGACTGCCGTCCAGCAGCAGCTGGCAGGCGTCTCAACAAGGCAAGCGGTGGTGTGGTATTTCGGTTCATATCGCTCGGCCGCCGTCGTGGACGTGGTCCACACAAGCGCGGGGGACGGTCAGACCAGGCCAACAGACGGGTGGGCAACGGTATGCGCTGCGTAGCGAAGCTGTGGCGCGGAAGTGTTTAGAGGGAGATACATTTTGCAGCAGAGTGGAATGCCGTCATCATTTAAGCCTCGCTCCGGCTCCGCCACGCCACGCCCTGCCCCAGCGCGCCATTCCTTTCCACACCCGGCAGTAGAGACATTAGAGGGCAAGGGGCTCTGATTACCCAGAGGCGGGGGTGGCTGGGGAGGGAAGGGGGGCTGCTGCAATGATGAGGGGGAAGGAGGCTATAGCAGCCAGCGAGCTGACCACTCCGATTGCTTTTTCGATCTCCAATCACATCAAACTATTTTCATTAAACTACTAACCCATTAACAACCCCCCCCCCTCCCCGTTTCTCTCTTTCTCCTCCGATCTGCTAGAAAGGCGAGGAGGAGGGGAAGTGTGTGGTTGTGGTGGCCAATATGGCAGTTCGATCCAAAATAGCAATCCGGCCGCCAATGGACCGCAGCAGCAGCAGCGTTGAGCACAAAGGCATGCGGCCCGAGCTCCCACCCCCGCCTGTCGCCAGCCCGGGCACACGAGCCTCCCCTGGCGCCGTCCGTCCCTCCAAAGAAAAGAAGAGAAAAGAAAACAAAAAAAAAATGCGGGCTTACCTGGCGGATTTCGTCGTTGCTGTCAGGTACCATGTACTTCCGGATCTCGGCCAGCGCGAAGGCTATCCTGGCGTGCGCCTCGGCCGGAGGCGCCATGGCAGAGATCTCGACGTGGAGGTCGTCGCTGAGATGCGAGTACTTGGGGTCCAGTGAATTCCGGCATTCCTCCTCCTGAAACAAGAAAAGAACGCAACGGCGACGTCAGAAATTTGGCGCGGGCGAGGTGGACGAGGACGGACGGGCGGGCGGCTTTGGAAAGTGTTTCTTTATTCGGCTGCTGTTGCGCTGGCCGCCCTTATCTCTGGGCCACACAAGTTGGTCGTCCAGCACGACGAGGGGAGAGAGGGCGGGATAGGAAGAGAGTTAGACAGAGCGAGAGCAGAGGCAGGTACAAAAGCGACACCGCCCCTCCCGCCTCGCAGAGTCCTTTGCACTTCAACGGGAAAGGCAAGCACTACAACGCTAATTCAAACTCGTTTCTCAAAACACTCCCCGTGTGCCCGCCAGAGTAGAGGCGAGGGCAGCAGCGGCTACAGAGAGGAGGGCAAACGGGGGGAAGGGGACCTGTGGTTTGACAGAAGGGCTAAGGAAAGAGGGTGGAAGTAACCCACATTCACCAGAATTGCGCTCGCTGGCTGGACTTTGCGAACGACGCGAACGCATTTCTGAAGAGACGCGGGGATTCCCAACGCAAAGATTCGGCCCCTGGCAACACGGGATTCAACGAATCCATTTCTGTTTGATCTCTCACTCCCAGCCAACTCGCGCGCCGAACCCTCTCTAGCCCCTATCCGACCTCTTCCTTCTTCTACCTATCGACTCTCAAACTTTCCCCCTTTCTGCCAACAACCAATGTGCAGGCGCGAGTAACAGCCAGAGGATGCTAGCGCCATCAAATCAGCCCCTAAAGCCAAAGCCCGCCTCCCCGTCAACCCCTCTGCGCTCTCCCCACGCTCCCCCAATCTCTGAAAAAGGAAGGAAAGCCAGCCTGACCTGTCACAACGCTCTCACGGGGATTGACTGACGCGCACAGAGGGAATGCAGCAACAAAGGTTGGGCGGAATAAGGGGAGAGGGGGAGAGCGCGGGAGAGGTCTCTATGGGGAGAGTCGGCGCGCGCGACAACGAGGTGGAGGCGGGTGGAGGATCGCAGGGCTGGGCGCGCCCACGACGTTCATTCACTTATGTTATCGGTGCAGTTGCCGACAGAGCTCTTTCCTGAACAGTACAGCACGGTACGTACGCAGTGTGTGTGAATCAATCACTATTCTTTCAGTGACTGTCTCAAGTCTCAAATGGCTCAAATGATGCTATGGGGCAATTCCACGCAGAAGTGCACTGTAAAATGCTTACGAACTAAATGCTTTGCAACGTTAGGAACAATTTTTCTTCTTTGTATTGTAAAAAAAATGTTTGCATTGCGAAGCAATTGTTCGAAAGGCTGGGAAGGTTCTTACGAACAATCGGTTTGCATTACGAACTATTTAATCGCAAGCTTACAAAAAATTAATTCGTAATACAACGCTTCAAAATCCTTTAGGTTTGCATTACGATACTGTTGTTCGTAAGTGAGTGTTTACAGTGAGTGTGTTTCCGGTACTTAACGATTTGTGAGCGACAGGGAGGTCCTACGGTTTTGTACAACACATGACTAGACGCGTCCTGGGACAGCGAGTTTGGACATGTATGGCAAACAAAACAGCGAAGCCACTCAGCCGCTCACAAATCGTGTGTCGGACGGACATTTCTGACCAATTTTTGCTGAAATTGCCCTCAGAAAGAGTGTCAAGCAATGACACGCAAAAAAATAAAAAAAAGACTTTGTTGTGGGGATCAAAACTTTGTTTGATGGGATAAATTTTGAGGTCAGGAATGGAGAATCTGATAACCGCAATGAGGAGGTGGTTGTAACGACCGGACACTTGTATAGAACAAACTCGAGCTTGGTTCTACTCGTACAAGTGCCCGGTCGTGACAACCAGCTCCTGGTGTAGGTATCGAATTCTCGATTCCTGGTATCGCTATCAAATTTAGCCTTACAGAGTTTATCCCCACAACCAAATTTGCTCTTAAAACAAGCTGATAATTTCTTTCGAATAAGAGAAAAATCTTATTCCAAAGACAATATTGCCTTGTTTAAATGCCAAATTTCATTCTTGTGTCAGCTTGCACTTGAATCAAGAAACTATTTTTCTGGGTGTACGGAGCGACGCAAGGCATGCGCAACGCACACGACGCGAAGGAAACCTCGGTAGTTCCTTTACGCCCACCAAAGAGAGAACAGAACAAACACGCGCGCACAGGGAGCGCCCCAATCGATTGCGCGGCCAGAGCGCCGCCTTCCTGCTCACGACGCATTATGCTTTTAGTGAGGTCAAAAAGGATACACGCGCGCGCCCAGGCCGAGACCAAAGGCCTGACTCGCTATGTCCACTTTCACAAAAAGAGAACGAGGAAAAAAGGTGGAGAGGGATTGAAAAAGGGATATACGGACCGTCCTGACTACCAGAGCAGAGGAGCTAAGGGCTGCTGTGCATCGGGTTTCTGTCCTAACAGCAGGCGGCAGTGGCACACGGCCGACTTGTCAAAGGGAGAAGCCCCCCGTGGCCTAGCCTGGCCCGGCCCCGTCCCCAGTGGAGCGAGTCGCACGCCCATTATAGGCACACCGAAAGAAAACAATTTGGGGCGGAGAGCGTTTGTCCACGGCCCATTGGAGTCCACCTAGGCGGAGTATGGGCGAGTGTCCTCCCTCTCCACCACCCGGGCCCCGTCCCTGCGTCTTTTTTTTTTTTTTTTTTTACCCTTCTGTGTCGCACGAGGCTAAACCCTCGTATCGCTATGACCATGCACGGAAAAATTATACTCGAAAAGGAAATTGTACGTAAAAATAGATTGCTTTCTTAATTCAAACAAAACTGATTTTTTTCTAGTGCACATCTTTCCTAAATTTTTCCTCTGCTTCCTTTAGACCGAATTTTCTTGCCCCCATCCCCATGCTTGCAGCCCCTCTGCAGGTCACATACAAACTTCATGCGGTGCAGGAAGGGGGAGGTGAGAGTGTGGCACCCTTCACTGCCCTTCGCTATCGCGAAAAAACACTTTATATATTTGTGAACGTGCCGTGTAAGAAAACAAAAGAGGCCCGGTCCCGTTCAGAGAAGGCGGGTGGAGGAGGGGGGTAAAGGTAGAGAGAGGGAGAGAGAGGGGTAAGGGGAAGGAGTGCTCAGCACGGAGAGAGGCCAACCGTGGTGGCTGGGGAGCCCGGGCGGCCAGCGTGCCGGGCGTGCCACTTTAGGCCGCTCCTCCCTCCGTGGCCGCCGCTGCATGGCCCCGGCATGGCCGAGCGCTCCAGCAGCCCATACCAGCCCCATCTATCTCCAGGGGCGCGGGCGGCGGGGAGGGTCGCTCTGGCCATCGACACACCGCAGCCAATCGGGCACCAGCATGCAAAGCACCGCAGCCGCGCGGCACAGCCAGGCGCGGTGGCGGCCGCATGTCAAAGTGAGTGGAATGTAAAACCGGCCGCTCCCCCCTCGCCCCGCCA